CGGGAACGGTAGTAGTACTCGTCGACGACGTCGTGTAGTAGTACGTCCGTAACCGTAACGTACGAGTAGTGGTGGTCGTCGTTAGTTTAGTTTAGTTTGTCGTCTCTACGTATAGTACGTCTCTCTCTCTCTCTCTCTCTCTCTCTCTCTCTCTCTCTCTCTCGCTTTAGTTTCTGATACAAGCTGGGAAAAATATCTGAAAATGATGTCTATTTGAGTGAGTTTTGGCCCAATTGACTTCTTTATTCTCTGTTTTTTTTTATTTTTGGCCTTTCCCCACTGAATTTCCATTTGTTCTTTTTGTTCCTTAGAACACTGTAGAAGCTGAGATTTTTGGAGAATTGGGCATATCCTTAATGTGCTTTTTTTTACTGGTTTTTGTTCTCTCCTTCTTCTTCTTTTTTGTTGATTTTAAAGGTGTTTTGGGTTCGTTTTCATGAAATTCTGTGCCCGATTTGGTCTTGGACCGCGTTTCTAATCAGAGAATGGAGAGAGAGATCAGTCTTTGGTTTCTGCAGCTTCTGCCTTCTGAGCCATTATTTCGATCTATCCTGAAAATAATGGCGATGATGCTATGGCAGAAGGGAATGAAACTGAATTATGGCGATTTTCTTGTCTTTTACAGTTCTAGAGTAAGAGAATAAGTAGAGATTTGATATGCAGAGGTTCGTATCAGGAATTTAGTAGGTTAAAAGCGAGCTTTTAGGGTTGAATCCCCATTCCCCTTTTACTTATTGCATCTCGATTTACAGTGCAATACGCTTCGACGCTCTGATTCCTCTTTGTTTTTTTCACTTTTCACATTTTAGTTTTTCCATCTCGATTTACAGTGAGACAAGGTCTCAGATTCTGATATGTTAATGGTTTTGACTGTTTGTGATTCAAAGTTAAAAAGCTTTTTGATTCTGAATCTGTTTAATGGCTTTCAAAATCTTAAGAATATGGTGAATTTGACTAACCATGGTGTTTTCTTCTTTGGGTACAGGTTCTTTGGAGCTTTGATACTTAACAGTGAATATTTATAAGCAAAAAGCTCATCACTTTTCACCATTAAACCCCATACCTCATATACAGTTAAACTAGCCTCCAAAACTAGTATTGTGTAAAGGCAGGAGAGAGAGAGCTTTATTTCTAGTTAAAGGAGGAGTAAAAGGACTTGGGGTCTCTTTTGTTTTACAGAGAATTTGATTGCTTAGAAATGGGAGCAAAGGTTGGGGCTTCATTGCCATGGTCTCAAATAGTTGGAGCTTCTCCTCAAACCCTAGCAATTTCTCTCTTGGATAAAAAATCCAGGTCCTGTCCTTCTTGTTACTCCTCCTCTTCTTCTTCTGGTTCTTATAGATTTGGAAATGGTGGCGAGAAAGCTCTGGTTTTCACATACACCCATGGATTCGATCTCCCCTTTCTTTCCGGCTCCATGAAACTTCCCCGAACCCAGTCCTGTGAAAAACGCAAAGACCCTAGAACCAGAAGGCTCCACAGAAGAGCTTTAAGCTCAAATCTACAGAGCTTTCCCCATGAAGATGGTGAAGAAGAGTATCTGAAAAGGCTCCGAGAATTGGCCTATAGATACCATCTCTCTGATGATGCAGAGGAAGAGCAGGAAGAGGAGGAAAACCCAGTCAGTTCCAGAGACAACATATTCGCCGAGCCCAGTGGCTCAGTCTCCGAGCCGCATTTGTCAAATCCAGGTCTGTTTCCCCCTCCTCCATGGCTTGACATTCAACCCAATTGGCCCCCTACCATCTCTGCGAGTCTCGAGAGAAAGGCGAACAGCGTCGACCTCCCCATGAGCCTCCGAATCATCAAGAGAAAGCAATGGCACGAGCGTGGGCTGAGCCTGAGCCTAGATAGTGGGTTCAGAGAGGCGAGTTGCTCTGTGAAAAAAGCCTTCTCATCCATGGTCTTCATGATCAGAGAGTTGCAGAGCTACACACTGCAGATGAGAGAGCTCCTCTTCTATCAAGATTTACAGGGGATTTTGACTAAGGTCCAGAAAGAGATGAATGCCTCATTCGTATGGCTTTTTCAGCAGGTTTTCTCATGCACCCCAACTCTAATGGTGTATCTGATGATCCTTCTCGCAAATTTCACTGTGTACTCCATGGCCAGGAACACCGCCATTGCCGAAGTTCTGCCCAGTCACCAAACCCCTAGAACCTCCATTGTTGTGGCAGAAGAGCGAAAATCAAGAGATGTGTTCTCTTCAATCAGGCCTGATTCATCGAGGTTCTTCTCTGTTTCAGACTCTGGGAAATCATTTTCCAGTGAGGTCGGCTCTGGTTCAGGCAATGGGGGCGCCAGGAAGCCACCCCTGGTCGGCGGAGATGAGGATTCTGGGGATTTTTCAGGTAAGGTTTCCGGCGATAGCAGGGTCGATATCTCGGGGCTTCTTTCCGGCGAGGTTTCGGGGGAGGACAGGGCTTGGCAGTCGGTGGTGGAGGAGGCGGCGAGGATGGAAGGTAGAGACGAGGTGTTGGATCATGAGACAGCTGAGGGACTGGTGGCGCCAGTCCGGGTGGTCCTTGAACCGGAGGACGAGGTGGACCGGTTCAGAACCCGTTTGGTTTACCAGATGGCCATAGCAAAAGACCCCGATAACCCGCTCCTCTTATCCAACTATGCCCAGTTTCTGTATCTCGTGGTCCATGACCACAACAGGTAAAAACAAAAACCTTAACCCTAAATCATTTTTGTTTATGTTGCCTTGTTTATTTATTTTGGAGATGAAATTATCGGGTTAACCACAATCTAGGCCACTCGTCCTTGGAGTCACTCTCTTTCGTGTTTTTTTTTTTTAATTAAAATTATTCTTTTAAAAAAACTATTCAGTCCGACTCAATGGGTCCGCAGCTTCGGACGACAACAAGTTGGACCCTTATTCCAAAAGTTTGCTGATTTGGGTTTTTTTTTAATTTAAAAACAAAAAATTTTCTTTTCCTTTAGGGAAAATTTTGGTGGGAAGAAAGGGATTTGTTTGACAAGCTTGGTGGTTTATTGCATTTTGAGAGAAAAGTATATGTTGGGCGGTATATTGTGGGAGTAGAATTTGAAATGACCCACCCGGGTTTGGGCAAGATATTTTATGGGTATAAGGGAATATTTGAGTTTGTCATGGGGATTTCATTTCTAGTCTTCATTAATTTAGAATATATAAAAGACCCTACCCGTTTTTTTTTTTTCTCAAATAGATCAGGGAGTCTAGTTTTTTTTTTTTTTTTTTTTAAAGGTTCCAGTGGGGTAGTGTTAGTAGGATTGAAAAATACAACGTGGTAATTAGGTATAGAAGTGTTACCACCATGACTCCACCCCTTTCCTTGTTAATTTAGAATTGGAAAGCTGTAATTAAGCCTTAAATTTTAGAAAAATATGTCAAATTTCCAATTTGGAACCTTGTTCTTGTGAATAGATGCGGCTGATAATGAGCCAGGTGGTCCAGCCTAGTGTATTGCCTACCGAATTTGGGCCAAGGGCCTCGGCCTGCAACCCCCACTGAATTTGGTTTGAGGACTGAGTGGCCTGTGCTTGAAATGTAGGCTAATGTTCGGCCCCAGCCTGGCCTAGCCAGCCCAGTAAAACCAACTTCTTATATATATATATATATATATATATATATATTCAATTTGGTGGGAGGGCTGGGCCTGGCCTGAAATTCAGGCCAATCCCCTGGCTTGCACAGCCCAGCACAGCCAACTCCTTTTTCGATATATATATATATTTAAATCGCCATGATTTTGATTTGCTCCTTTAAAATCAGCACTCAAAATAAAGAAAGCTATAATTTCGGTTTGTACTTACTTGAATTCATTACATAAATAGACTTTGTTGTGCTGATCTTTCAGTGGAAATAAAGAAAGACGACTTCAATGCCACTTCTCGAAATTTCATTTTTTTTATTTTGTGTCCTGAGATATGGGTGGGTCAAGTCAAACTCCTTTATCGTGATCTTCTATATTGCTTTTTTCCTAATCCTTTGAAGTGTGGTCAGTCTTTAATTAATTACTACCTTTGCTTGTTTATTAATTTTCTCATTTGTTATCACCCTTTTAACATATTTGCTTGTTTACTAATCTTCTCATATGTTTTCATACCTTATTATCTTATTTATATAAGGTGGACCATTTTATACGGGTCTTCGATCATGTAGAGCACCACCCACATATGATCTTGATGAGATGGCTCGGAGTCAGCTAAAAGAAGGGGTAGACATGGCCTTGTCTTGGGTGACTCTTGAGTGGATCAATGATATTTTAAAGTAAAAACTAAACTAAATTTGGCGAGGAGAATCACGTATTTAAATATATTTTTTTATAATTTGATGTTTATGTACTGGTTCTAATTATTTTGTTAGGTTGTAATTAATGTATGAAATCGTTGTCGATTCACTCCTAGCTGTCCCATCTCTTATCTGTTCCCAAACACGCCATAGCGAAATCTTCTTATGTCTTTACATTTATGTATCTAATAGAGCAGAAGCATACTTCAAAATAATTTGATGTTTATGTACTGGTTCTAATTATTTTGTTAGGTTATAATTAATGTATGAAATCGTTGTCGATTCACTTCTAGCTGTCCCAACTCTTATCTGTTCCCAAACACGCCATAGCGAAATCTTCTTATGTCTTTACATTTATGTATCTACCAGAGCAGAAGCATACTTCAAGCATGCAGTGCGAATATCTCCGCCTGATTCCGAGGCACTCAGTCGATACGCCCACTTCTTATGGCGGGTCCGAAATGACATAGCAGCGGCGGAGGAGACATTTTTGGAGGCCATTGAAGCAGATCCCGGTAACAGCCACCATGCTGGAAACTATGCTCATTTTCTCTGGAACACTGGCGGAGAGGACACTTGCTACCCACTAGGAGGAGAAGCTTGAGCCCTTTTTCTTTTGTGGAGAGGAGGATTTGGGAAATGGAAGGGGGTTTTTTTTGGGATGGTTCTTTTACTGTGAAGTGATCTCGTTCGATGGCTCTGTGTATGTTTTTGCAGACTATTCGATTCGAGGGATTTCAGTTTTTCATTTTTTTCCCTCTCTCTCTCTATCGATGATTCTATACCAAAGTGTAATTTAATTCTTCTTTTATATGTATATCGTTTTGTTTCTTTTGCATCTCTCTGCTCTGCAATATGGAGATACTAGTACTGTTTTCGAAATTCTTAGTTGGGTTCGGGCTCAAGTCAGGGTCCAGTTCTGATCCCCGTCTTTGGGATTTGATGATTTCTGAGTCTACAGTTTCCAAATGAGTAGCTTGGTGATGGGGGTTCGGTGGGTATCCAATTCTGGTAACCTGGTCTTACTTGGATGATTCCTAAGTTGAGCTACAGTTAACAAAGGAGAAGCCTGATGTCTCAGGTTCGAGCAGGGGGAGGGTGTCTAATTCTAATTCCCATGGTCTGGCTCGGGTGATTTTTGAGTTGGACTGCAGTTAACAGAGGATTAGCCTGTTGGCTTGGGTGGTTCCGAGCTTTCGAGGCACCCTCAGCTTCGTATTTGACTTAGATGGGATCGACCATCTTATGATTTTTTAATAGAGTAATGATTTTATTGGACTTTTCCCCATCCATGTGTATAGAACTTCAAAGGATTATCATTAAAGTTGGTACGGATCTCTAAAAAAGTTATCATATGGATATGGGATTTGACTTTTCAATAGATTCATGTCAAATTTAATGATGATCTTTTGATATCCTACACATATAGGTGAAAGACCTTATAAGATCTTGCCGATAACAATATTTGTTACTCTACAATTAAACTTCCCATAATATAAAGGAATGATATTTTTTTCTTAAGAACTAGTGGACAACATTTCATAATACACGCAATTTGAATTTTAAAATATAAATGCATTAATATATAGAGTTAACAATAAACTTTAATGTATAATAACACGCTTTATGTTAATCTAAAGAGAGTTAGCTTTAATTTAATTTAAAAGGGATAGGTTAGCTTTGTTTGGTTTTGTGGGACAATTCGAACCGATGACCTCTTTTACCCAAATTAATGTATCTACCGCTAAGCCCAAACTTAAGGAAGTACTAATTAATTTAATTTAAGTATTTATTATAAATATGTTATTTGTTAGTTTTTTCTTTTTGATGAATCAGTGCGGTACAAGCACTTTCCAAGAGATCATCCATCTTAGTACTACACTTGCCCGGTCAGTTTTTGCAAATTGCTATGGTATCTTAGTACTAACATAATTTATTTTAAGATCATATTGCTAATTTTTCGTTTAGATTACAAAAATCTATAATGTAGATATATTTTAGCACAGTAGAAATACAAAGTACCGAAATATTGCAATAAATTGATTTCAATAACATACCATTTGAGCTACCATTGGCTTGGTAAATTAGTAATAAATTTATTGGACAAAATTGTCACCAAACTCTCCAATGTTCTCTGTGTACTCATTGGACCAATTACATGGATACAACTTCAATCCCTCTGTCTTTTAGAAAGAAATTACAATCTCTCTCGACCTTTTTTCTCTGTGTTTGAACTTTTAACAATCTCTCTGTATCATCTATCTCTTCTCGTTATATTTGGCACAATTTCCCATTTCTCATTGGATCAGTCATAGACAGCTGCAATTTCTCTATCATGAATGGAAACTGCAAATTCTCTCTCATCTTTATTTATTTATTTATTTTAAAGGTAAATGAAGAATACAAAGCTCCTATCTGTTTTAGAAATGGTTAGCTGATTTCAAATGTGTTAGAGGGAATAAAAATTTGGAAAATTAAAAAAAATATATCTTTTTTTAGATTATTAAAAAAATATCAAAATTTTCAAAACCTCATCCGTTCCCTTTTTTTCTATTGTTTGCATTTTTTAGACAAAAATATTTTTTATAGTAATCTTAGATCTGTAAAGGCATCACGGTCGTTGAAGGTTCAAATGTTGCTAGTGCGGGGCTTAAGACATCACAGTTCTATTAGGTCCATGACGATGGGGCAGCATTAGAACCATCGCGGTACTTAGATAACTAAGATGATCACCTTGACTATAACGGAACTCGCACTATTGTGACACCCTTCACAGAAAGCTCTCGCCTATCATATTGCAGAAACCGATCACAGTTCTTTAAATACCGTCACACTTTTAAAACTTAAATCCAATAACCCGCCATGATTATCACGTTTCTAAGTCGACCTTGATTGCTTCCCAGATCTCAGACTATCGTGAATGGCATCTTCGTCAAAAAAAATAAAAACTAAAAAAAATGAGTATGGATGAAGTTTTGAAAATTTTTAAATTTATTTCTAATAATCCAAAAAAGATATTATTTATAATTTTTTGATGACACGATGCTACCACGACGACGTCAACCCCATTCCCAATTCTCTCTCATCCTTGTATTATCGTTATTTAAAATCAAATTTTGGGTAATAAGCAGTTTTGCAGAAAGAGGAGAGATGGGGTTTTTTGGGGTGTGGGTCTGTGGGGGCTTGGAGAGAGGAAAGTGGCATGGGTTTGCATGAGCTTTGGAACCAAGACATGGGTTGTTGCACCTAAAAGGCAGTGATTCCACGAGAGAATCAGGAAAATGCAGAGTGATTAAGAGAGAGAAAGAGGAGAGAGAGAGAGAGAGGACTCGTGTCAATGGCGGGTTGGGCTAGGTATGGGCGGCATGGGTGAGGTGGCTCTATGCCTATGTCTATTTCTATGCATTTGTTGATGCCCACCCTCACATTATTCATGTTCTGCAAGAGAATCACTTTATTTTAAACTATACTTAAATAAGAATGTGTACATCTTACCGGCCTAGGTTTCTATTCCTATTTATGTAGAATGTGTAGATTTTACAGGTCTAGGTTTCTATACCTATTCGAAAACCATTAATTATTTTTAAAATAGATAGGGGTGGGTCTGTATTCCTCACTTATCTATTTAAAAAAAAAAGGAATGTGTACAACTTTGTGTACAATATAGATGTGGGGTTGAGATTGAGCTCGCATGCTAGGCTAGCCCCTCTGGTTTGAAAATCGGGGTTTGGGCCAACAAATTTCTACTAGAGTGTAGGGTTGATAATGGGTCTGCATTAGTCGAACCTGTTCCAAGTCAGGCCCAGTTGTTATAGGCCAAGCCTGAGCCTTGTTGATCCACTTGACCTACCACGGACCAGTCCCTATTCGACCATGCTTTCATATTGAGCTGGCCCGAGCCTTTCCCGGCACAAGCCGAAGGGGTCTTGGCCTATTTGGTCTATCCTTGATAGTAGGCTAGGACCGATTGGATCAGAATCCATCGGGATCTGAATCCAAAAAGCATATAGGGGATCCAAATCTGAATAGTATATATGGGATCCAAATCTGGACTCAAATGGATCCAAAAAATATTTTATAATTCATTTTATATCTATAAAATAATATATAACAAAAAACTACTATATAACACACACACACACACATATATATATATACATATATATATATATATATATACATATATATATATATATATATATATATATTTTTAATAATTGGATCAGTTCCAAATCAAATCCACCTATACTCGGATCCTATCCAAATTACTATTCGGATCCAAAATTTAGATCCTGATCTCACCTATCGAATTCAAGTTTTGAATCTTTACATGGATTTGCATAGGGTCCGAAATGCTAGTTTCAAATCCAAACCGAGTAAATTCTCAACCCTACCTGAGCCACTTTTGGCTAACCCACTTAAAGTGGCCCTAACCCTGCTAGAGTGGGGCCAGGGCCATAACACCTCAATCCTAAAGCCTAGCTCAGGCAATGGCCGAGTCTCCTTCAGCCTAACCCAGGTGTCGGCTTGAACTTTAGGGACAAAGCCATGGTCGTCTGGTTGAGTTGTATAGAGTCTCTTTCTATTAGGACCCATAAGCTATATGTGCATTAAAGATACCCTCAAATTACATGATAGCACATGTGCGTTCTGAAAAATATACTCAAATTACAGGATTTTATAAGTTGATGAATATTGATGTGCTTTTTGTTTAATTAGCACAGTTCTCGGCAATGCTTCAAAAAGATGCTAGAAGTATTGGATATAATGACCTTTTTTTTAACGTATTGGGTATGGTAAGCTATCATCAAGCTTTATCTTAACTGTTTGGGGTCGGTTTACAAATATATATGCTAAAATATCGGATGTAAGGGCCCTTTTACAAGTACTGAGCCGTATATAAAAAAAAGTTTGTATAAGATTACAACTATATACGATAGAAGTAAGGTTTACCTCAAGAAGTTAAAGGTGTGTTATACTTGTATAGTATAAGGTACGCACCTTATACAAGCCGCACCCTTATAAGGCATCTGCTCATCTATTAACGATGGACTCAATTGTGCCCTCAAATATAGAAATGCGGTCCTATTAATAAATTTATTTTTGAAATGGATTTTTTGACTTAATTTTAAAGACATGTAATCTCTAATATGGAGATCATGAATATGAAAAAATAAGTATATTTTAAAAACTAGAAATAATAATTCTAGTAAGAAAACATTTGGACCGTTAGTTTCCATTGTTTTTAGATAAAACACATATTTGTATCCATCTTTAAGATGGATGCTGAACATTTTTTGGACCGAATATGTAGTTATGCAGTCCAGCCCGCATGAAACAATTTTTCAGTAAAAATATAGTTTTTTTTTTTAATAGTACCATTTTTCTTTGAAACCAAAGTTTGCATCAGAGATGGTGTATGTTAAATATTGGTAAAATTGGTGTTTGTAGCGGCAATTATATAACGCCGTAATAGTTGTTATATTGCATTTTTAGAATTTCAAGAAGAAAGTAATATAGATTCCATTATATTTAGTTTAATTCAAAAAATTGATTGTTTTATTAATTTCTTTAAGGAAATGTAAAAAATAAGATTGTTTATTTTGGTTTTAAGCATATTATAATCATTATTTACCCTCACATGTAAAATCAGGTGGTTGGGTATGTATCATGGACTTGGTACAAGGTCTCCAATAGAGTTTCTTGAATGTTGTGACACAGTTCATCCTGTCAGGTGGTTGGGTCTGTATCATGGACTTGGTACAAGGTCTCCAATAGAGTTTCTTGAATGTTGTGACACAGTTCATCATGTTAGATTTCATATTCAATGGTTAGAAATAATCGCGATCTCCTTATAGTGAAAATAAATAGTCTTATAGTAAACAATCCTACAGTCCATTTCCTTAATATATATATATTCGGAAAGGAGAAGTAAGATAAAAGAAAAATAACTTATTGTATACAACCTCAGGTTGTTAGATTCGCTTCGGAGTCTTCTTCGGTTCAGTAAAAGCAATGAAGCAATTTGGTGCTTCGGTAGGTTCGTGGGAATACTTTAGAATTTTTATGTTACATCTAATATCAATAAATTAGATATTTATATTACAAAATAATAAAAAATTTAAAATAAAAATTTAAAAAATATATATATATATTTATGTAAAAAAGCATACCCAAATCTGATCGAAGCAACTCAAATCTGACTGAAACGACAACACCAGGTTTTGCTTCAGTATTCGGCCAAAGTGAAGCGAATTTGACAGCACTAATACAACCTGTTAGATTTTTCGCTTGATTTTATGGTCTGTCGTTTTTCCCTTGGCCTCCTTCTTTAGTGAGATTTGATATGCCCCATCTTAGTTATTGTTTTTTTTTTTTGTTCTCTCTTGAGAATTTGGTTAGGCTTGACTTTTTTCTTCAATGAGCTGTCATGGAGTAGAAAGTTGAAGTGCTATGTTGGCTTTATTTACTTGAAATCTCCGTAAACTTATAAAAGTTTAAGGTGCCTTTTCTAAACCTCTTTTTTATCCTTCCCAAATGAAAAAAATAATAAAAAACAAAGAATCAAGAGAAGAAGTACAAGAATTATATGTGAACATATCTTCAACTAAAAATTAATTTGTACATATGCTTCTAAGCCATTGATATAATGGCGGATCAAGATTCATGTAGCTCACTCTAAAAAGTTGTAAAAAAAATACAATGATGATGTTGTTCCCAAATACCTATTGACGTGAAATAAAATATATATATATAAAAATCAATGCTTCTCTAACCCCTTAAAAGTATTCAAGTGGTGACTATTCATCCACTTCCATTTCTTTGGTCACCTCTCACTTTCCATTATCTATTTAAACACTAACTCAATTTTAACCAAAACTTTTAATTCTTATGATTTAATGCGATCCACCCACTAGGTAATTGAGCTTTAATTCTAGTGAATGGATTTCTTTCTCCCCGCGAGATCATACTGACACAAGATTGAACAAAGACTGCTCAAGGTATAATTGTTAAATAGCTCAAAATCTATTTTTTTACTTTTAGATAATCATCTGGTCAGGTGATTCTTATGTGGATCCCGTAATTTTAAAAAAAAATCCATCTAAATAGTTCTTTTGCCCAAGCTAGTAAATATACAGTATGTTCCAGGATCGAATTGGAGTGCTTCATTCTTTTATATCTAAGTCCTAAATTGAATTTGAGCATGAAATGGGCACAAAATGAGATACAAATGTTTCATATTAATGTACACACAATACGACGGGGGCCAAGGAATATGGTTTTCGTAGGCTTCATTTTAGAGCACGTATCTTATCCTTGCTTGGGGGCAATACTATACACTTGTTCCCTCGGGCAGAAGACTAACTTGGGAAGATTTTTTAATCCGAAATTTCGGGAAACACATAAATAATCAGTAAATGATTATATTCCAAATAGAATACTTTGAATTATGACTTTTCTAGTACTTAGATCTCACCCTTCAAAAATTAAACAATTTCTATCCAACCTTGCAACATTTTTTTTCAAGCCCATAGAGAACACAATTTGGAAATTTCTTTATTGTGTATAACATATGGGGCCGAAGATATTAGATGCCCAAAATTTGGGTTCCTAGGGACACTCCTAGATTGGGTTTTGCCCAAGGGAGTAAATGGATAATATGCTCCTTTTTATGAAGTCTATCGGCTTCATTTCAAATTTAGCGCAAGCATTAAGAAAATTTAGCATAGAGTTGTTGATAAATTTTAATCTATTGGCTTCATTTCAAATTTAGCGCAACCATTGAGAAAATTTAGCATAGAGTTGTTGAGAAATTTTTGTCCCTCTGAAAAATACAAATTAAACATCGTAAGTGTAAACTTATCAGAGCCGACCCCAATTATCTAAGAAAAAGATATGACGATCATGAAGTGTAAATTTCCCAAAATAGGGCTAGAGTGTTTAGCACTCGCCGTAAAGCAATGATACATCCCAAGTTCCAATCCTACTACACTTAATTACCCAAAAAAAAAATAAAAAATAAAGTTGTGTATTTTGGGCGCTTCTTCTCTCCGCAACTACCCAAAAAGGAAAAGAAAAAAAAAAAATTTTAAAAAAATAAAATAAAATAAAATAAAATAATGTAAGTGTGTATAATTATTGGGTGACTTTAGGTTCCTTTTCTATTACTCAACTACCCCAAACAAAAGACAAAAACAAAGTGTAAGTGTGAAATTATTGGGCGAATCAAGCTAATGGAAGTTGAGGTTTATTATGAGTATTTTAGCTCAAACAAGCTAAGGCTTAATAAAAATAAAAATAAAGCCTCACCTCATAACTCATTTGGAATTATAGTTTTGGTGTCAAAAAATCGATCATTACAATTACTTTCTTATATGTTAGATTTCTAATCGGATGGCTAGGAATATCTCATTGAGTAAGCTCAAATTTCAAAATAATTTTTTTTGAACTTCGTGACGTACCTAAGCCATCGGATTTGATATCTTATAGCTAGGACTAAATGTGACCTCATTGCAACAAAGATATATGGTTTTATAGTATACAGTCATTAGGAGGAAAAGTATACTAAGAGACTATTTACTTTTGATATAAGAAAGTCAGCATTACTTTTATCGTCAGATCTATAATCAGATGGCTAGGAATGTCTCCTTGACTAAGCGCAAATTTCAAAAGAAATTTTCACGAACTTCGTGACACACCCATTCCGTTAGGACTAATTGTGACCTCTTTCTAATAAGGATAAATGGTTTTATAGTATAAAATACCATATTGAAATGCATTATTATACCATCCAATTTGTAAGTGTTCACGGATCCACATGAACTGTATACCCTTTTATGAGCTACAGATTTCATAATTAGCGGTGGAAATAAATTTTAGAGCAACCTTAGAGATTTCCCATGCCCAAAGTATTTTCCAAAACAATATTTTGACATGAGGCTTTGCATTTGTTCATAGGGAGTAGGATTTATAAAAACTGCTTCCTTTATAAAATTGTAAAAAAAAAAGAGGGACTCCAATGATTCTCGGGTTTTTCGACCCACAATTGCCGGTCTCTTGATTTTGTCTGGCACAAGTAGATCACGTTACTTCTCTATATTATAGTGAGCATCATGCGTAATGGCAATATATATCTGAATTAAAAGGTCATTAATAATTTGCTTTAAGCAAGAAATAATCTCAATTTTTTTTTTTACAGTTAGATCTAATTGTCAAAGCTAAAGTAATTGTTTCGTTTTCTCAAAATAACTAATCTAAATACAATGTAAAACATGTTCGAACCGAAAAATAGATGTGGAATTATCACATGGTTCATATTTTTTCAATTTTATGCCTAAGTCCTACTTCTTATTTTTATTTTTTAATTTTTAGGTTTGCCCCCTTGCTAAAATACAACCACATTTTTTTTTATTTGTATTTTAGTGACCTCTAGGGTGGTACAATACCTTAAAAGTCGAACTACTCCATACATAGGGTGCGGTTTGTATAGTGCGGTTTGTATAGAGCCCAGGCTCTAAACAATCAAATTAGAGCCTACCTTAAAATAGTGTCGGGAAATGTGGTTTCAATACTGTAAATCTTTGTGATAGCCTTAAAATATATTTTCATATTTATTTATAAAATTTAAAAGCTTCAAAAATAGTGTGGATCGACTGATCGATGAAAACTGGAAAATCTTGAAAATTGACGGTCCAAAAATACATTATAAAATACATTATTTCTAAAACTTGAAATCCATTTTTTTCTCCCGTTTTTATTGACAAAGGATCCAAGATTTTATTAAAATAACTAAAGAAAAATAGATTACATCAAGAGATAACACAAGGGAAGGCAAGGAAGTCCCTCGTCTAGCGAAGGAATCAGCCGGGGAATTTTTCTCACGTTCATGCATCTTAATGTCGAGATGATCAATTTGAAGACAATTGGGCATCAAAACAACCTCTTTTATTGAAATTTTTGATGTAAGCTCTGAGTTGATTGTTTAAAAGCCTCGGATCTATATAAACTTTTCCCCATATATAGGTACTTTGATATTAGTAACATGCAAGACGCCACGTACCAATATGACCCAAGTATGGATAGTTCTATATTGCCAATTTCAAACCACTTCATCTTAATAGAGTCCAAGTAAGGAGCGGTTCCATATCACTAATATCGAATTGCCTCATACTTGAAGAAATTTATTGGTCTGGATTCCTTTTCTTTAATTTAATTGTGGTTTGAGCATTTCTATATTACAATGCTTTAAAAAATGGATCACTGACCTGGATTTGGTATCCCAAAATCGGTCCAAATCGATGAATCGACAGCCCAAATCCCCATTTTACTGTATAAAAAAGATATTTTCATAGTGACCTGACAAAAAACCAATATGGATCGGTGAATCTATAGTCCAAATCAGCATTTTACTATAGAGAATTACCATTTTATTGTGTGAAACCATCGGTTCTCTTCTTGACCACTTTCTTATATATAAGCAAAACAAGGACAGGGTGACTGATTTCCTAATCGGACCGGATGATTCCATGTCGACCCGGCATTTTTTAAATCACTTCTATATTGGCAACATGGAACCCACTCCAAATTTAGAAAATGAACTTGATATTCGTGACATTAAACTGCTCCACAATTAGAAAACATCTCTCTCTGTCTAACATTGTTGCGTGGAGGTCTTTCCACAACACTCATTCTCCGTTTCCGATGATGTCATCTGGAGCTCCATTTCATGACAAACCCCACAAAACACTTCTTTCCCTCTCCTCGAACCCTCACCCGAGCCAAGCTCGCACCCATCACCACCCTGGCTCGAGCCCACATTGACCCCTACGCACCCATGGACCCCAACCATTTTGGGTCTGTTCTCGACCAACCAGGCTCGATCCACACGGTCCAGCAAGTCCACGCTCAAATCCTGTTTCACAATGTATCTTCCTTTCTCTCTCTAACCATCAAGCTAGTGAGAGCATACGCCATATTAGGCCATGACAAAGAGGCAGGGCAAGTGTTCGATGGAGTTAGTGAGAGAAATGTGGTTCTCTGCAACTCCATGATCAGGGGCTACGTTAAGAACCAGCATTACAGGGAAGCTCTGCTTCTGTATAGAGACATGGTGGGTTTTGGGGTTTATCCTGATAAGTATACTTTTCCATGTGCTTTGAAAGCTTGTTCAGGTGTTAATGGCCTGGAGCTCGGTCTGCAAATTCATGGGGTTTCGGTGAAATTAGGCTGTGACTATAATTTATTTGTTGGCAATGCTCTAATGGCTATGTATGCGAAGTGCAGTGATATGGACCAGGCCACTAAGGTGTTTGAGTCTATGAAGCATAGAGACGTGGTTTCATGGAATACTGTAGTTGCAGGTTATGCACAAAATGGGTTTTTCGGGGAGGCTTTGGAGGCCTGTAAAGAAATGGAAATTCATGGAGAAAACCCAGATGCAGGTACACTGGCTAGCCTTCAACCTGCTCTTCTCCAAACTGAACCTAAAGCCATTGAAATTGCGAGAGAAATCTTTGATAAAATAATACATCGGAACCTGGTTTCTTATAATGCCATGATCAGTGTGTATTCAAGCAATGACATGGCTAAAGAAGCCATTGAGATCCTCTCTTGGATGAGAATTGAAGGGGTAAAACCAGATGTGGTTACATTTGCTAGTGTTCTTCCGGCTTGTGGACACCTCTCGGCTCTAGCACAGGGGAAGCTCTTGCATAGCTCCATAATTGTTAATGGGTTCCGTGAAAATATGTTTCTTGAGAATGCTTTGGTGGATATGTACTCAAAATGTGGCAATTTAAAGGCAGCAAGAGATGTCTTCGATAGGATGAGCTGCAGAGATGTTGTTACTTGGACTGCCATGATTTCTGCCTACGGTATCCATGGGAAAGGGCGAGAAGCTTTGGCTCTCTTCTATGATATGTGCCATTTGAGTTTGAAACCTGACTCCATTGCATTGGTATCAATTCTATCAGCTTGTAGCCATGGGGGGTTAGTAGATGAAGGTTTGAGCTTATTTGAGAGCATGAATAAGGACTATCAGGTGGTTCCAAGAGTTGAGCACTATGCCTGTGTGGTCGATCTTTTGGGGCGGGCGGGCCGGCTTGAAATGGCCTATAATTTCATTAAACAGATGCCATTAGAACCCAACAATAGAATTTGGGGTGCTCTTTTGAGTGCTTGTAGAGTGTACAAGAACACCACCATAGGTACAATAGCTGCCGATAATTTGTTCAAGTTGGCCCCAAGTCAGTCAGGATATTATGTTCTCTTGTCAAATATATATGCGTCTTCAGGTAGATGGGGTGATGTTGCTCTAGTGAGAAATTTGATGAGAAGTCAGGGGATCAAGAAGCAACCTGGTTCTAGCACTGTGGAGCTTGGTAATGACGTACACTCTTTTCTAGTGGGAGATAGGTATCATCCCCAATCTGATGTGATCTATGCGAAATTGGAGGCTTTGGCTGGCGAGATGAAAGAGGCTGGTTATGCAGTAGACACTGATTCAGCTCTTCATGATTTGGAAGACGAGGATAAGGAGGGTCACCTTGCTGTTCATAGTGAGAAGCTGGCCATTGCTTTCTTGCTTATAAACACAGGGCCAGGGACCATTATAAGGGTGACCAAGAACCTTAGGATTTGTGAGGATTGCCATGTTGCATCCAAGTTCATCTCAAAGATAACTGGGAGGGAGATTGTTCTAAGAGATACAAATAGGTTCCATTGTTTCAAGGATGGGTCCTGCTCTTGCAGGGATTACTGGTGAATTGAGTAGAGGAACGAGAGGTGTGGAAGATGAAAGGCATTGAAGTTAAGGGGGTTAAGATAACCTCTTGAGGACTGACCATGGACATCTGGGTAGGTTGGTATTTAAGGGGTTTCGTAAAATGAGCCACTGCTTTCGGGAGTTTTGGGGAAATTCTCAGATTTCTTGCCTCTTTATCAGGGGTTTTCTCTCGCATTCTCTTCCCCTCTCTTGTCTATATATCCTCTGGCTATAATTGTCCTAAATTTGCTCAATCACATCAGTACTCCAAACTCTAAGAGAGTGTGCAATAACAACACTAGAACATATCCTTGTGCATCAAATTTTCCATCTTCTTCTCATTGCGAGGTTAATGTATCCTTGTGCATCAAATTTTCCACCTTCTTCTCACGGCGAGGTTAACGTATCCTTGTGCATCAAATTTGCCATCTTCTTCTCACTGCAAGGTTAACACTTCTCAGTTGAAGGAACATGAGCTGCCACATTGATTTCATTATTCACATTTCTCATTGGGTTGGAAATATCACCCCAACCTTGGTTTGACCAGACTTCTGCAACAAATTCCATGAACTTCCCTTTGACTTCAGTCCAACGGCACCCAATTGATTTCCCCAATGCACTTTTCTTTAACCTCTTCTTAATCTTTCCCTTATATTCCCTTTTTCCTCCTTAAGCTGCATAAAAATTTGACTGTAAAATATAAGCTCCTCTCTCTGGTTCAAGCTCCATATCCTTCTCAGATTCCATGGCTCCAAGCTCCACCTCCCCATGTATTATACGAGCCCCAAGCAAAGCCTCCCAAACTACTACTTCCTTCTCTATTGACATGTTCTTGATAATGATCTCACCATCTCTTAACCTCCCTGCACGACCCACCATACTGACTGAACAAGAATAGTGCCCAATTCTTGGTTTTATGACAGAATGGATTTGAAAACCATGAAAGATCCTTTAGAGTCATGACTGCTATCTGAATATTTGAATAAATGATTTAGAGCATCCATTTCAATGGGCTCAAGGTCAATTAGAGCTACACCATCTTAGGAGCTACAAATCCCTTGTTTAGGGTGGAAATGGTTTTCCAAGTACATAAGACGGGTGTTGGCTGCTCAAATCCTAGAGAAAATGGTTTTCTAGCAAAGGGCGGAACAGCGTTTTGGTGCGGCCGACACCATCCCAAAACCATATATTAATCCTCATGACCTTGGGATAAAAGAGTTCATATAGTAACATGCAAGTCTGCTCCAAGCTTCATGAAATGAGTATCATATTATTCAGCTATAGCAAAAGTAAAGTCCAAGCATCCTGCCCATAAACCTTTCCTTATGCATATGGTCTGGTGGGCTATGTCAACAAAAAATTGAAATAGATGAAAAATTTTAAATACCGCTTCGATATCTTACTGGTTTTGATCTATATAGTAAAAATTTCAGCAAATATATTGAAGTATAGAATCAATAGTGGCATTCATGACTCAGTCATGATCATAAAAAATCGAGGGGCTGGAAACTGAGAATTTTTTGTTTTAGTTAGATTTCTTATGGTATATTCCCAACTAAATTACCAACGAAGATACTTACATGAGGAGATAGATATTAAGTTGGATTAGGAAGCAGATTACCCTAGACTCCCATTTTGGGCCCCTATTTTGTAGGTCCCTGATAATAGATATACCCTACCCTAAAGTTTCCTTTTCCACAGGTTTATACTCTTGCTCAATGGCATGGGTGCCTACCCTTTACTATGGTTTTTTCTGAGTTATCCCTAACCATGGCTTAAAATATGTAGAATGGTTAACACTGCTAATACTTTTTAGAGGGACAAAATGATGGACAGAAAGCCAATAAATTACCATTTGAGCAATATGTCAAATGATGGACAGAAAGCCAATAAATTACCATTTGAGCACTATGTCATATTCTGTACAAGAAACTCATGCATGTGACCGTCCACTTCAACACAGCTCAACCCAGGAACCTTCTTCACCCCTTTCATTCTCATCCTTTCTCTCAAGTAGAGTACCCCATCCCATCTCCCCACCATAGCATATAAGTTAGAAAGAAGAATGTAATCACCAATGTAGTGATTGTCAACCTCAAACAACTCCTCGGCGACTCTCTCCCCGATCCCAACATTCCCATGAAGCCGGCAAGCACCAAGAAGAGCCCTCAAAATAGCACCATCAGGCCTCATTGGCATCCCCTTAACCACTTCCATGGCCTCTGCAATGAGCCCAGCTCGCCCAAGAAGGTCCACCATGCACCCATAGTGGATCAACCCGGGCTCAATCCCGTGATCCCTGCTCATCGAGCCGAAGAGCTTGCGACCCTCTTCCACGAGCCCACCATGGTTACAAGCACACAATACGGCCACAAAGGTGAGCTCATTAGGTTTCACCCTCTCTCTCTCCATCTCTAGAAATAAGGCGAGGCATCTCTCAGTGTAACCATGCATGGCTAGCCCATATATCATGGCGGTCCACGTGAGTACATTCCTGTTGTGCATGACCACGAAGATCTGTTCAGCTAATGCTATGCATCCGCATTTGGCATACATGTCGACTAGGGCGGTGCCTACAATGACATCCATGACCACACCATGCCGACCCATATAGGCATGGACCCACTTGCCTTGGTCGAGCGCACCTAGGCTCGCGCACGCCCTTAAGACGATACTCAAAATGAACCCGCTAGGCACCATACCTGAACCCATCATCTCTCTGAAAATTTCCAAAGAACAATCGTAATGCATGTTATGAACATAGCCACATATCATTGCACCCCATGAAATTACATTTCTCTGAGGCATCTCGTCAAACAACTTTCGCGCTCTTTCAAGTAACCCACGCTTCGCCAGCCCATCAAGCATGAGGGTCTCCAATACCACATCTCTCTCCTGAATTTCGTCAAACATTTCGGAAGCAACAGAGATTTCGCCACAGAAAACATAGAGACGCACGACAGCTTTCCGCACAAACTCAGACGACTCCAGGCCGGATTTCAAAGCACGACATCGAATTTCCTCCCCTTTGGAGAAGGCCCTGATTGGAACACATGCTTTAATCGCAAAAGAATAAGTAAATGTGTCAGGAAAAATATTTCGGCGAAGCATTCGATTGTATAAATGCAGGGCCTCTTTCGGGTTGGAACTACTTGCATAGCCTCTTAGCATGGTGTTCCAAATGAATAATTTGGGGTCTGTTAAGTGTTCGAAAATATGACGAGCTTCGCTTAAGCCGCGGCCGAAATCAAGCAAAGCTAAAGCCTCTATGAGAGTGGTTAGTGTTGGTGTGTGGTGTATTAGGCCCAGAATGGTGATTTGGGCTTGGATTTGGAGCAGTTGTTTGATGGCGCTGCATTTTTTGGGGAGAGAGAGAATGAGATGATGCCATGCATGATTGAGCATGAAAGAGAGAGCTACTCAATTTTTTATGTGAGCGATTCACAAAACCTGAATTTTGAAGGTGGACGGACTTTAATTTGATTCTTTTGGGCTTCAACTTTATATAAACTTATTCCTCGTCTAAAAGCCGTAATGGAAAGATGTTTTGTTAGAGATAAATTCTCTCTTTCAAGATTTATCAGAAGATTTTGGATCTCACCCTATTCAAAATTTATCAAAAATTTTTGGATCTCACCAATTTTTCAATTAATGAATTGTCAAGAAAGGGAATAGATTTTAGATTTTGCTCATTTTCAATAAACTGCTACAAAAATATGTTATGTTTTTTAAACAAATTTCGTTTCCAGGAAGATATAGAGAGAGACTGAGAACCTCAATAAATTTTCACTGAATTTTTGTCAGAATGGAAATTCCCTTTCGTCATAAAAAATAAATAAATCTGTATGCTTAGTTATTTAACACAAAATAGTGGGTTAAGAAAAGCAACTGGGTGCAGTTGGATTTAAGGGAAAGGGGAATTTAAGAAATTTGATGCTAGAGCCTTGTCAAACCAATGCTTAGGTGATATTTACAATTTGATGAGAAATTTCAACGATGAAATGAGAATGACAGGTTATGTTCTTTTAATTGAAAAGTATTAACCTTGTATTGGAAAAAAACCTGTTGGGAAACGGCATTGATGGTGGTGATGACGATGATGATGATGAGGATAATCTTGTATAAAAAGCATACGAGCTCATGTCAATTGAGCTTTAGCCTAATCTCCAACCAAGCCTCGATGAAATGCCCATCAAAAAAGACATTTGATTATAGGTTTTTTTTTTTACTTATGAAAACTTATCAAAATTATTTTTTGGTCCATAAGTTTCTATATTTTACCACAAATTTTTGCTACTTTGTTTTTCTTTGATTCTCAAAGTTGCGTCTAGTGCAATGTATCTAACATCAAATAGCTTATAGTTTCAATTTACTTATGAATGACAGCCGCGGGGCTGTCCAATGTCTAATATATGGAGCCAACCCATTTGTAGGGCAGTTCGATAACTGGAACACATTTGATCACCCTATATTTTGACTTACTATTTATAATTACAAAAAATTGACCTTTATAGTTTTTTAAAATTTTAGCAGTACGAGCTTTTGAACATTGAATTGAAGATATTTGAAAAAAAATCAAAAGCAATATGATGTTCAAAATCTCAAACTGCTAAAATATAAAAAATAAAAAATAAAATGGGGTAGGTCCGATGTTCGGACCACCCCAATGACAACAGCGTTTTGACAAAATATAGGACGTTGTGATGTGCTTGTTATCAAAATGCCCTACAAATGGGGAGTTTGATATATTAGACATCCGACGGCCCCACAAATGTTAAAAATAAATAAAAATTAATAATAATAATAAAGTAAAAAATAAGCAATTCAACATAAGTAAACATTGAACGAGGGAAAAACTTGAAAAAACCAAAAAAAATAGACAAGTAGGACTTAGTGATTAAATACAAGTAACTTGTGGACCAAAGGATTATTTCGATAATTTTACCCCGTCCATACATAAAAAGCCCTTGATTATTTAACTTGATCCACTAAACTACAACAAAGACAGAGATGAGAGAGAGATTGTTGAACGATCTCAAGGGACAAAAGGCACACAATAGATGATTAAGTGCTTTGAGAGACAGGAAGCACACAACAGATGAGAAGTGCACATACATGCAGGGGTTCACTGCTGCACCACTTCCACCTAATCTTAGATACAGACAAGGCTGGTCAACCATGGCATGGGACTTTCAACTACCCTATTGACTTTGCATTTTTACAACAGTAGAAACTTAAAAGAATTAAAAAAAAAAGTTAATCCTTAATACAATCAAAAGTAGTTTATGAGGGGACGCATTTCGTCCATTTCATCCCCCAAAGCATTATCCACTCATCTAAAGATGGATGTAAGTGTTTGTTGAGATCGATTAGTGAAAAATCAGCAGAGGTTTATAACATTCACATCTATTGTACATTGATATCAGTATAAACAAACAATGGACATAACATGGCATCAAAAGAACATCATGAAATGAAAAATACAGCATCAAACAACCCACACACCATAAAGATTTAACATGGTTCAGTCACAAAACATGATCTACATCTACGAGAGAATGGCACAGACACTTTTCTTACTGATTTGGGAAGATTACAAGAGATATTGAGTCTCAAAGCTCCAATTTCCAACAGTTTTAACTCTCTTTAAACATAACCCAAAATAGGGTCCAAACACACTACAAAAGTGTATTTTTTCTCTCTAAAACATGACCTACCACAGGGTCCCAAAAACTCAAGTGCATGCCCAAAAATCTGCACTTTCTCTCTCTATAAAGTAGTAAAAAATAAGGGCCAACAGTAAACCCTACGTGTGCTCTCTTTTTTTTCTTTCTTTCTTTTCTCTCACTAAAACAAAAGGGAAACAAAACCCCTTCAAAAAAAATTTCCTATGACCTCATAGCCCTTGGATTAGAAGCCAATCCCATAGCTTAGAATAAAATAAGAAAAGTCAAACACAAAATATAAAACAAATGAAGCCTTAAAACTCACATGTGTGATTTTGGTTCACGCACACAATAATGATGGTCCCTCACAACAAAGTTAAAATAAATGACCAAATTTTTTTTAAAAAAAATATCATTTGTAATTTTTATTTTTTCTATTTTTCTTACACATTACTGATCTCTATGGAAATGTAAATTCCTTAAAAATCGGGGTCAAATTTTATTTCAATCATTATTAAAGGGGCCGGTATTTCTACAAATGAGTATGAGGACTCATAAAAGCCGTGTCCTTAATACAATCGTTACATGTTTGTTTGCATTGTCCTTTCCACATCCTCTGTCTCAGAGCTGGATAACATGTGCAGAGACAGAGAAGAGAGAGAGTCATTCGGATGCAGGATCGATATCCTTTATTCTTTTTTTTTCTTTTTTCTTTTTTTTTTTTCTTTTTTTTTTGTTTTTTGAGGTAAGAGCTGTGTACATGTATATTTATTGAATATTTTCTTCCGTTTTATGTAGTAAAGTTTGAACAAAATGCTACCAAAATATTTGCTTTTCATTAATCTACAAAACTTCTGACAAAATATACTCAGTGGAGGTAGTTAGAGAGATGAGTTTGGATCAGCAAGAGCCATGAAGACGATAGCGTAGATATCCCTACCCTGAAAACTAACATCCTTGTTATGACAGCTGATTGGTTCTCTACAAACAAGAATTGTAACTTTATTCATAGACATCATATTATTAAAAATCCATTCGAACTTGAAAACCCTGAAAGTTAGACAAGCAAGCTAGGTACCATTACCACCACAGACAAGTTTCAAACTTACAGACAAGTTTCAAACTTAAATTTGATGGCAGCTTGTTGGGGAATCCAAGACTTACTGGTTTTAGTAGACTCATACGATATGATAGGGATGATATCATACTCTCCTTCTAAAGGACAATTGTAGAATTCACCGTGAATGAGATGAAAACAAAAGGATTTGCTAGAAGGACTGAGATTACTCTCACAACTAAACGGATATAAAATTGTGGAGGGAGATTCTAGCAATGTGTTTCAATGGACTAAAGGAAAGATCCAAGCACAATGGAGATTGATCCCCTTTTGATGAGATTTCTTATTTTTTAACTTTGGGCTCTTTCGAGCTCCGTCACTGTTTTAGAGAGGCTAATTCTGAGACAAATGTTCTTGCTAAGGGCGGCAATCATAGTTGGTGGTTACATCTTTCACTTAATTGTACTCTAATTATAATTTCTTACTAAGATTGATGGATCTCGCGGTTAACATTAAAAATAAATAAATAAAGGAAGAGCCATGAAGACATATTCTTCACAAATAACCCCTTCACATCTAATATAGGAAAATTTAACGTACAGATTGGATAATAAATGTAGAATTGCTACATGGATTATATTTTCCAGAATTTTCAAGTAGTTCTTTTTTTTTTTTTGTGGTTTTGTATTTCACTTTTGCATGTAATTCGATGTTAGCTCTAAGTAATTTAAAAAGAAATAAATACTTTAGCTCTAAGTAATTTAAAAATAAATAAATACTTTAGCTATAAGTAATTTAAAAAGAAATAAATACTTTGGTGACCTCTAAGGTGGTTTTATACTTCGGAAATCGAATGGTCCCATACCTTAAGCATGGTCTAAGTGTGGGGCAGTCAGATGTTACTAACATCAAACCACCCCCGTGTCACATTTTCTTTTAAGTATGAGGCGCTTCGATATTAGTAAAATCGAATTGCCTCATACTTGGGTTAGATATCCCAAAGGGTGGTTTGATATTGCTATTACAGTGGCCGCTCGATCTTTATGACATCGTACTGCCCTGAAGGGTTACAAAAAGAAAAAAAAAAAACAATTCCATCTTACCAACATCAAACTAAGGGAAAAAACTACCACAGAATGGAACCTGTGTGTAAAATTGGAAAAAATATGGAACATACAGTAATTCCACATTTGTTTACGCTATTTGTGGGTGCATTTTTCTATTGTTTTATTCTCCCATTGGAGTATTACGAAATATATTTTTAGATCCCAAATTTATGCAAAACTAATGTCTAGGACCCGGTGACCATCCTCAAAGGAAAACGAGGGGGTAAAAAAATTATATGCCACCCGCGAATGACATTCCAAATTTGCATACGAACTGTTCAAATTTTGGAGGAAAAGATCAAGATGTTTGAGAACTCAAAATCCAAATTTTTTTTCTTTCACGATAATCATCTAATTACAATTAATAAATCTCAAATTCTCTAATAATGAAAAACACCTAAGTAGGTCTTCTGACAAAAGGAATAGACGTACATTATGCTCCAAAGTAACATAATACATACGCTCTAACTACTTCTCTTTTCTTTTGCTAATTTTGTACTGCAATTTTGGACTATCTTGGTCCCTATCTTGTATAGCAATGTTCTCGTGCATAAATTTTTGCTTAATAAATTAAATTATATTGTTACCACTTAGAAAAAGAAACTATGAAAAGGCCTAGGAGAGATGGGAAAGGTTTCTATACTTCCTCTACAGCATAGAAGAACTATGCTCTCCCTACCATCCAGCTGTCCAATTTTGATCAAGATAGCCACTCATCGTTTGACCTTATATCTGACGTCTCAAAGTATTTTATTTTTAATTTTTTTTATACAAAGTGTATGAAAAATAAAATTTGGTATGTGCCATCTTCTCATTGGGACGCACCTATAAAAAATATTAAAAATATTTTTTTGATAAAATATAATGACCAAAATACCATTTTAATCTTTCAGAGGTATTTTGGTCATTGTATTTTATTGAAAATATTTTTTTTTTATTTTTCGCTAGTGCAAGTTTAATAGAGGATTGGACGTCCAAAATTTGGTGTCAAAATGGTTTGTAGAAAAAAAATAAAAAATAAAATAGTGTAGATACATGACATTGTGATTGGGGCAATCTTAGCCCTCCATTCATAATGGAGGGTTTGATAAGAGGAAGTATATAAGTTTTATGTTGTTGACGAAACATAGAAAGCATGCCCATGAGATATTCTAGCATCGTTTTAACTATTACAGCTGATCCAATATAATTGGTACTTCAAAGTTAACGATTGTTTGTGATAAGACCATTCACTTTTGGTAAAAAAAATTTATTGTCACTCTTAGCCTGTTAAATCCGATAGATTGAAATGTGCCACAATATGTGAAAAAATAAGTTTTAAGACCTTGTGCCTAGTTGATGGCACGTCCCAATCCACAGGATGTCACTTTCAATGGTCAAAATGATTGTAACCTCCTCATATAAAAAATAAATGGTATTAAATCATATTCTTTGGTTAATATTAAATGAAAATTGCAGTTATGACATTAAAAAACCTTCAAATCAATCATCTCGACCTTGACCATTACGGTTGTGAAACAAAATTATGATTTCAAGCCCTAAAAATAGTGTATACTGTACTGCATTAGTGTGTAATTTTTGGGTGAGTTGTGCACTATCCATTTTCAAGTCTTCCACCATTTTTTGAATTACAAGTTTCATAACATGGAGATTTTTCAAAATTATGATTTCAAACCCTAAAAATAATGTATATTGTAAGGCATTATCTAGACAGTCCATTTTCAAGTCTTTACCGTTCTACAAGATCTGTACCATTGTTTGAACCATAGTTAGCAAGTCAGGGATTGTCTACAAATCGGCTCACCGTGAGATCGAAAATTAACTGTTTTTATTTTAAAAAGTCGGATAGAAAAATCGGGTAAAAAATATGGATAGACAAAGTAAAAAATATAGATAAACAAAAATACTTCACGTAAAGAGATCATGAATATATCGAACTAGGCTAAAAAAATTTAAGTAAAAAATTCGGATATATTTAAAATATTAGAAATTTTAGAACTCTAAATATATCACTCAAAATAGAAAAATTAATGGTAGTGAGGAGTAATGATTTCACTCTATATATATCACTCGATATAAAAATGACCTCCTTATATATATAAATTTCAAATATTCAATGTGATATATCTCTTAGTATATATATATATATATAAATTTTAAATATTCAATGTTATATATCTCTAAATCATAAGATAGTTATCTATTATATTCGTCAAGATAAGTATTGGGTAGGTGAATTCAATTTTTATTTTTCTAAAAAGAAATATGCACCATATCCATAGCAGAGAACCAGAGTCGGGAGAATAAAAATAAAAATAAAAATAAAAAATTTATAAAACATGAAAAAGATATTAGAACTTTAAAAAAAAAAATCAAAATATATTAATAGAAAAGTTGTTTTTAAAAGATATTTTCAAAATTTGAAAAAGTAATGTTTTAAACTTCTTCCTAAAAAGATGGGAGCTTCTTCTTAAAAAGATCGCATATGTTTACCAATCTATTGAAAAAGTCACAGATTAAATCATTTTTTTCATTTTTAAAAAAAACACCGATTTTTTTAAAACATCGACGACTTGCTATAGCTTGAAGTACAAATTTCATAACATGGACATTTGCCATGCCCAAAGCACAAATGGATATTTCCCATGGCTTTACTATTTTTTTTGTTTTTTTTTTTTAAGGCTCAAGCGTTAAGACATTTTTTTAAGGCTCAAGCGTTAGACAAACTATTAATGTGTTCCAATTATGCTTAGCCATTAGATGTAAATTCAAGTGGCTATTTTTTTATTAAAAATGTTTGAAGTGCTCTTAACCGTTAGACATAATATTGCAGTTGCTAAAAATGTTTGAAGTGCTCTTAACCGTTAGACATAAAATCGAGCGGCTGAGGCTATACCATCACCTACAAAATAATTCCTTAGAAGTTCATGAAAAAAAATCACACTTATCAATACAAAAGATTAGAAAAGATAGCAATCTAATTGTATAATCAAAAGAATGCATTACCAGTACATGAAACTGTAGTATTCACATACAAAATCAACCAAAAAAAGAAAAAAGAAAAAAAAAAAAGAAAATAACTAGATTACTTGTTTCTTTAATTTAATTACCTTTCTATTTCTTTCCTTCGTTCCCTACTTTCTTCTCTACTTACTTCTGTCTAATTAGTCTCTCTCTCTCTCTCTCTCTCGTCATCAGCTAAACCTGACACTAGCGGCCTTTGCTTCGTATTGCCAGAAATCACCTAAGAAAGTCTTGGCTGCATCTAAGCTTGGAAAATATGGAGGGTCCATGAACAACTGTGACAAAGCTCCATTTCTAGGGTTTCCATGGCTTCCCATGGCTTCAGAGCTCCCCATGACCACAATAACCAGCTGCTGGTAAGAGAAGAAGAACTTCTTCAGGCCTGCTTCAATGGCCTGCAAAGCCTGTAACAAATGGATGGAGCTCCAATTTCCATGGCCATGATACAGTCTCATGGCCTCTTCTTGAAGGGATGGGCCGCCACTGGGGTCGGCTTCAACGCCAAGGATTGCAGGGACTCTGTGCTTTAGATCTTTGCAGGCCTCCGAGACCGCCATTAAAACCCTAGATCTGAGACAGAAGGCGCCGGAGTCCGTTGGAGTTTTGATGGCGAGCTGTTTCTTGAGGCGGAGGAAGTCGTCGGGGTCCATGAGGAGATGGAGGTCCTCGATCTCAGCCAGTAGCTTCCAGATCTTCTCGAGAAGCCAGCAGTTCTTCGCAGAGGCCTTGAAATCTTTGGATTCTAGGGTTTCGTGGATCCTTTTGAGGAGCTCTTGAGCAGTGATCAGCCATGACTCCCGGATCTGGTGCGTTGTGTAAAGGCTCTGGTTTTCGTGGTTGTTGAGGTGAGGATCGAGAGGGCTTCTCTTTAGAGAGTGGACCTCTGACGGCTTGCACACCAGATCGTATTCCAGGACTGGTTTTCCAGAGAGGTTTGGCTCTCCTAACCCTAGGGTAAATGGGGCTCTCTGGAAATGGCACTCGATTGAAAACCAGAGCTTCGAGGCTATGTCCTGTGATTTCTGCCATGCCCCCAACCTTGGCAACAGGCTTTGCTCACTGGTTTGACTCACCAGAGCAGAAGAAGCGCCATTGATCTTCCACACTTCTTGTAAGCTGCCTCCTCTGGTTAAGACTCCATTGGAGAGATGGAGATTCACAGTAGGAGCAGAGCAACTTGCGATGTTTTCTCTATCGTCTTCATCATCTTCACAGATTGAAGCTATGAGCTCGATTTGAAGGCAAGCGAGGGATTCTAGCCTTCGTTTCCACTCCGATTTGTTGATGTAAGGACGAGGATCAGAGAGAACCAGAGAGATGAAGCGGAAGGTGATTTCTAGGGCTTGGAGTGAAGGTTTCAGAAGAGGCTCGTTCCTCCATTCAGGGAACTGTCTAGAGCGAGAAAGAGCCCATAAACGGCCAAGGTGAAGGTATTGTTCATAGGCTAAGCAATCTGACTGGTTCAGCTTTAAAGGATCAGCCGAGTCCTCTACAAAATTGTGATGAACAGGCATGGAATCGCTTGCGATGGGTTTTCTATGGTTTGTTGCAGAGTTCAGCTCTCGTTGCTCGGCCATCTGATTCTTCCACTTCAATTCTACCATGATTTTCTAGTCCAGTAGAGAGAAAGAGAGAGAGAGAGAATGAAATTATGGTCTCTGGTTCGAGAAAAAAGAAATTTGAATCGGTTTGAAGAGAGAGAGAGAGAGAGACAGCAGTTGGTGGAGGAGAGAGAAACTCAAAGAAACCAGTGCTTCCGTGTTCGAGATTGGGGTGCAACGGGCGTAGGAGATTTATATATAGAGCGTTTAGAGAGAGAAACTCAATGGATATGTAGAGAGAGAGAGAGACTCAAATGAACCCCTACTATGGTTTTTGGGTTTTGGGTGCAAAAGAAGTGGGATATTTATATATATATAGAGAGAGAGAGAGAGAGAGCGCGTTTAGACAGAAAAACTCTCGAGGAGGATATTTGTAAGAGAGAATTTTTTTGAGGAGGTGTGAACGGGGCAGGTTGTCCAAGGAGAATGAGAAAGAAGACTTTCCTTCCTATTTTTATCACCTAAAAAGTCAAAAAAAACTTGAATTTATCCAAACTCTATGCCTCAATGACGGATTTACCCCTCTCAATACTCAAAAAGACGAGGACTTCCTTGCCACGCTTGCCATTATTTGGGGGACGAAATTGTCTTTGATGATAAATTTCAGGACAATTTTGACTATTTCTAGAAGATAAATGGATAAAATGGAAAGAAAACAATAAAATAAGGGGAAAAGAAATGTAGTGTTTGCTTATCCCTTTCAACCTAACCCCAACACGACCAGAGTAAACCCATGTTCTGATTTTTCCTAGGATACCAAGTCCAACTTTTGCATAATGCAAACACTATTATAAATGTTTTTAAATGTTGGGCTACAAAAAATAATTATTAATTTGAATGGACTATAAAAAATAATTATTAACTTGAATGGACTGTAAAATGACTTGGTAAAATTGACTCTACATTAGCTCATAAATTAATAGACATGCTGAAGAATACATTGAGAGGGATTAGTTTTTGTCCTAATGAAATCAGACAATTCAAGGGATGGCTTTGGGTTTTATTTGATTGCAGTGTTTTTTAACCAGGTGATTTTTTTATTCAATCGCCCATTTATATGTGAATTGATCAGGATCGAAGTGTAATTGAGTTGGCATGTGTACGGGTTCAGCTCCCCTTAAAACTCTCATTTATATTATTTTTTAAAGTTTATTTTGATTTTTTTTAGATCTCTTATGTATCCCCGTTATATAAACTTTTATTTTACTTTTATTTCATTTTATTTTGGATCGTTGATTTAGATTGATCCAGACCTGATTTAGATCACCAATCCAACAATCCTGTATAGATCTGTGGATGAATTATCCACCCACCGATCTGAGTTTTGAAACACCGTTTAATTGTATTTTTCCTAGCTATAGCGGAGGTTTTGATAAAGCTGCCCCACAAAATCCAACTGGAAAACGATGGTATGGTGCCAATAACCCTTGGGATTCTTGTCACCAAGTGATGCAGTTTTATATCGAAATCGGCCTACTAATTGATTAGTACTTCTAAATGTGCGATTTGAAGCTCTAAAAACAGTATGACAAAAACTCGAAATTGATATCTCCAATAAGCATTGCAAGATGCATATTTTCAGGTTCAAGATTTTTTATTTTTGAAATCTACGATCATTGAGGCCAATAATATCAATTTGTAGGTCTTTTGGTGAAAAACCACATTTTTTTATGAGACTGGAAATGTGGGTAAATAATCTCTCAGCTTATTATTATTATGATTATTATTATTATTTTGAATATTGACCTATTAATTAATACTTTGGATTTAGGAAATGGGTCATTTAGAATCGAAATTTAGAATCCAAATTGAAGGTGAAACTTTTATTTCTTGAGTTCAAAAGAAACCTAAATCCTATATGTATTTAAAGCTTTATGGGTGAGAATAGTTTACTAACATTGATTATGAAATGAAGATAGAATTCAAAGCAATTTGATGGCATTGATAGGAGGATAAAATGCAGCGAGTTAAAGAGCATTTAAAACCCTTTAGTAACGAATGGAAATTGCATCCAAAAATGAAATGCTAGTTATTTAATGAGTTAAAGAGAAGTAGAAACGTGTCAATAAGGTGCTTGGGCTTGAAGGAATATGCGTTCAAAACATTATTGTTTGCTTATTGATCTCAACTGCATTGGTTGGAGTCCATCCATAATAATGCACCTTCATAAGGGGGTTTCTTTTTCTACGTGTGCCAATGAAACAACGCAAAAAATTTAAAAATTTAAAAAATGAAACAACTCCAATAAAAGTGAAATGTGTCTCTTTTTACAAAAACAATAAAAATAAAAAAATATATCTCGAGAAGGCATTTTTAAATTGAAGCTCATTGCACAAATATTATAATTTGCAACTATTATGAAGTCTGTTAAGAATAATTTTATGGCTTCACCTAACATCATTGAGGGTCCTACTTGACAATTCTTTTTCTAAATGTACATTATCCTCAAATCGTACAATAATTTAATTGAGTGCATACAATGAAACAACATCTAACCCAAAATAATGACAGTAATTAATAACATGAATTATGACCAAGGTATATCATTACTGAGAGATATAAAAAAATAAAAAATAAGACCCTCAATATTGGTTTCCAATTGACAAAAAGCAAAAGCCTAAAATTGTGAAATGAGTAAACATGTTTTGAAAAGGCAGCGATCCTATCAAAATAAGTAAAATTTAATCTCTAAAACTTATAAAAAAGTTGCAGTTTTGGCATCAGAACACCTTGAAGTTGATTATCTTGGCCTTGACTCTCATTATAGTTGTAAAAGTTAGGATTTTAACCCGTAAAAATAGTGTATATTGTAAAACATTATCTAGACTGCGTATTTTGCTTAAAAATATGTTTCACGGATAGCAAGTTTTTTCTTTTAGCTTCAATTTTCATAATAGGTGTTGAAAATTGATTTTCATGGCATTGTCACACTAATAGAATTTTTATTAATTTACTACAAAGTTATATAGAATCTAACGAGCAGTCCTCTCGTTGTTATATGTATATAGTTGAGATTAACGAACCTAAAAATATTGAATTTAAAATCCTTCTTTAAGATAGATTTTAATGTGCAACAACATGAGCCAACTAACCAAGCACTTTTCCGTATTTTGATTCCCTTTCTCTTTTTTTTGGAAAAAATTATAAAACTTATCCTCAAATTTGTTACTTATATTTTCTCGCATAGTTTTAAATAACCCATCATTATGTTGATAAATTTTCAAATATCCTTTCAAGTGGCACATGTGAATGGCTTTTCAAACTTTATCATAACATACCTAGGCAAAAGGTCAAAAGCAGGGTTCTAAAAATCTGATTGGAATCGTTTGATCCAGATCAGTAGCTGGCCGGACCATGACGGTTCCTTCCATCTAGTTAGAAACGATCAAATTCTCGCTGATAAGAACCGGCCCTACTTTTTAATTTTAATTTTAATTTTTTCAAATTTTTTACTCTTTATTTTGCCCCATAGATTCGAAGCAATCTTATGAATGGGTGATCAAGTCACTTTTTTTTTTTTTAATAATTCAGAGGACAGGCCTAACTGTTTTTCTGATAGATCATGGAAGTAGCCAGGTAAAAAGGGTATAAATTTCTCTAAATTTGTGTACAGTTAAATTTATAGTGGAGCAAATTATTTTTTATTCCAGTCTCCTAATGATACAGCAGTTTCTCTCTCCTCGTGGCATACGGCACTTTCTCTCTCTTCAAAACGCGCCGACCTCTCTCTTTCCATTTCGGCACAGCACTTTCTCTCTCTCTAAAACGCGGACTTCCACTTTCCCTCTCTAAAACGCCCGCCCCCGCCCCCTCTCTTTCTTTCCAGTTGGTTACAACCCGGGTTTAGGAATATGGATAAGGCTCTTTTTATTTTTTTAATATTTCTTTTATCTTACTCGGACATTTTGGTCCTCCGCCACGTGGCTTCCGCGTTTACCGTCGCCTTCCATGGAGTCCGCCGAGGGTCCCTTTGCGGCCGGTCGGAATTACCGGTCGCATGCGGCCGGTTGACCGGCCACACCCTGGGCCCACTCCCCGACCTCTTGCTGAAGACCCTAGCCAGGTGGCACCGACGAATCCAGGCTCGTCCGTGTCGCATCAGGAATGGGCGGCCTCAAGTAGCCGCTTCATCTGGACCGTACACGTGGATGGTTTTGTGGCTTGCACGCCTCGCCTTGCGTCTCTTGATGCGCGCATTTGGTTTTGTTTCGAAGCGACTCTTCCTCGTACTTTGTGGCGTTTATTTATTTGATAATTTTTATGCATTAATATTTACAGGAGACCTACCTACATGTATTGTATGGTCACCCACTATTTTAGTGAGCTTGAGATCTGTGTAAGGTGCCCACCTCGTACTATACAAGTAACACGTAACGTAAATTTTGTTAGAAGATGTAATTTCGGTATTAAAAATCTTAAGATGTACTCAAGTTCTATATTAAACTCTAATTCATTACCGTCATTTAAACTTTATTCTAACTATTTAGAGTCGACTATAATGATAGGGATGTGAAAAAGTTTTTAACTTATAACCAACCTATATAACCCAATATTATCTAGAGCATTTTTGTTTTGTACAGGTTATAATCATTAATATCTTTTAAATCCCGTACAAATATACGGCTAATAACAACTTTGGGATAGATATCAATAACCGTTACTGATAGTTACTAACTATACACCTATACCCATAGGTTACATGATACATATATACCCATACACCCATACAGATACTTATTCGTTCACATATTAATATACATCAATATGCTAACATTATTGAATAAAGACAAAGTTCAAAAAAGAAAAATTTCCAATTTATTGACTCATCCAAAGCTATCAAATTTGACATCTAATAAATGTGGAGATTATTCTGGCATCCATATGGAAAAAGATAAATAGACTATTTATAGACAATGCCATATAACCCTCCTTTCTCGTTCAGGCTTGGGACGGGTAATAACGCAATCCTAATTTTAAATTTAAAATTTTCAAAACAGTACAAATCCAACAAAACTATAAACATTTAAAAATCTTAAAAATAGACCGTGCAAATAAACTAAATCTTGAAAATAGACCGTGCAAATAAACTACTACAAGATATAATATTTTTTATATTTTAAATTTTTTTATTTTCATACATCTTGAGATCAATATGATCAATCGGAATATTCTCCAACTTCGTTACGCTCTTTTCCCTTGAATTTACGACATGCACCCTACGTTTGCATATGGTGGCCACCAATATAATTTGGTACATGGTGCTCCCGCGAGAGCATTATCCATATATACTTTTTCTCACGATTGCATGAGAGACCACGGATGACAATGCATGAAAAATCGGGCGGTTCCGTATCTAACCGCCCGGTTAGATCGGTTCCAGCCACTAGCTAGTTTTGCTTT